AGAGAGATGCCAAAAGGTATGAAACATGGTGATGTATGTCCCACATGGTTCTAACACGCACACTTTCTGCATAGGGCGCAGGGTCCTGAGCAAAAGTCCGAGAATGGTATGTTGACTGTGTCACAGGCAGCAAGCATAAGCCGAGATCGCCAGGCCTGACACAGACCGTGCCCTTTTGGTTCGCCAATGAGTGATCAAACCTGGATCAAAAGCTGTACTGATCTGCAGGTTATCCGCCCGAAGAATGTTAGGAAGAACGTTAAGTCCACCGAACAGTAGCCGTTGATGCTGATTACAATTTTACTCCTCCACCTTAGGCGGGTCTCGTCAAATAGCGTCGTGGGTGGGTCGTCAAGCCTTCTCTAACTTCCCTTCTTGGTCCAGTGAGTCCTCTGTCGGATTCAGCCTAACGCCCTTTTGTCGTAGAATAGAAGAGAACCGAGCGTTGATGATATCACGATTCTTGCTGTGTTCCATGCGCCGGCCGATAGAGCCTTCAGGGGTGACAAGGGGTACCGACATCTCGGGGCCGGCGTCATTGGGTCTCGTAAACAACGCATTGATGCCAGAAAGGGGTTGGGTATTCGAGTAGTAACTGGGATTCAGTTCAATGCGAAGCCCGGGTGGTGAAGTCTGAAGTTGGACGTTGAGGAGTGCAGGTTCGGAATAGACTTTGGATGGGTCCGGGGAATATTCAGGGGTAATTTATATTTGCCCGCCACAACTCCAGTGGCATTTGTGGCGTTGCTTATGATTTTGAATGTGCTGCTCTTTTCTGCATGTCTGATTTTGTAGAGTAAAAAAAGAAGCTCACCCTTGAGCCGACCTGATTGTAATGAAATTTGTTCTTTGGACCGGGGAAACCCTGCCACAGCAATGTTGAAAAATGGAAGTGATTGACTTCAAGGTTGCATTCAGTGTGAATTGGTGCCAACCTAATTTCAAACCTTCGATGTTCACTATTTTTGAAGTTTATTACCAGATGACAATAACAAACTTGAATGCTGATCTGCACAGTACAGCACTCAGCCACCTGTGGCCGTGAGGAAGCAAAGATCCCAATTTTGGGATGTTTCAATAGTCATCTTGATCTCAAATGCTGGAATTGGGAGCTTGAGACTTGGACTTGTCTTCTTTCGTTCTGCTTGGGGAATATGGAAGGCCCAAATCTATATATTTCAATGAAGTAAAATGCTTTGTACGATTCTATACAGTTCTATCAGGATATACAGCGAACAGAGTAGGTGTATCTATGACACTCGCAACCTGGCGAATATTCATAATTTTGATAACCAGCCAATTCCGAGCTTCTAAAGAGAGGTCAACGGGCTAGAAGGCTCGGTTATCGACGAGCGATAGTCTAACATGCCAGAATCTTGGCAGCGGCGGCTTCAGCAACAACCATAATGGTAGTCTGGATGTTACCTGTGGGAAGATCGGGGTGGATACTGCCATCAACGACGAACTAAAAGAACAAAATGGTTAGCAGGAATATCAATAAAAGAGAAGTGTTGCAGCACACATACGAGATTATCAGTTCCGTACACCTTAGTGTTGGTATCCACGACCGAGGAACCCCCCTTACGACCATCATCATTACCCAGCTTGGCAGTGGTGGTGTAGTGGTTACCGGGGCTCTGGGCGTTGAGAATAGCAGAGACATTGGTGTTTGTGACAAGCTCGAACCCAGTGGAAGGGTCGGTGATTTCGCTGACCATCTTCGAGACAAAGCTCTGGGCAGCCTTGCGGTCAGAAGAGGTTCGGAGGTAGGGCGACTTCTCAATGACAGTGTTTCCGCTGGCATCAAGTCCCAGGACACCAGAGGAGGTGAGACCGTGAGTCAGATAGGAGGTGATGGTGACGATACCCTCATCAGTGGGGGCACATGAACCCTGGTAGTACTGAGTGTGGCCGTCGATCTCCTCGGAGGTGAAGAAGATCATGCGGTGCTTGCCCTGGGTCAGGACACCGCTGTGCTTGCGGTAGAGGGAGATGTCACGAGTATCAGAGCCGTTCAGAACACCGTCGTAGTCGACCAGACCGAAAGAGCTGTTGGTGTCGAAGGAGATCTGGAAAATGGGGTGGTCCTTGAGGCCGACACCGACGGGGAGGTCGATCCACTGGTGCTTGGGGGGAACGGTGACGCCGTTGTTCTTTGCGGTCTCGATCTGAGCGGCGTGACCGATACCAGAGTTCCACAGCACACGGGGAGTAGACAGAGCGCCGGCGGCCAGCACCACGCGACCCTGAGGAGCAACGGAGATGATCTCGGTCTCGCCTGAGGCAGTCAGAACTTCTACGCCGCTGACATGGCTGCCGGAGCGGACCAGGCGGATAACCTTGGTCTTGAGGGCGAGCTGGAAGTTCTCGAGCTTCACAGCCTCGGGGAGGTAAGTGCGGACAGGACCAGCACGCATCTGGTTCTGCACATTCCAGGCCGGGTAGCTGTAGACCTGGTGCTTCTCATCTGGCTGAGCACTCATGTCTACGGATTTCCAGCCAAGGCCACCAAGGAACTTGGACAGGACGTGGTAGAGACCCTGATCGTAACGCTTGCCATCGGCGGAGGGGAGGAGGGTGCCGGGGTTGCGCTTGTAGAGACGCTCGGAAGCAGGCTCGACGTCGTTCCACTTCCAGCCCTTGGGCCATTTATCATCGAAATCGCGGGCAGGAGGGTGGACAAAGACCATGTAGTTAACGGTCACACCACCGCCGAGAACACAGGCTGCATTGCCACCGGTGTCGGTGCACATGTACTCATTCCAGACATCAAGCGAGCCAATATCTGCCGAAAGTCCCGGCAAGTCAATGGGAGTCAACGAGTGGTTCCATGGGAGTGTCCCGTTGGCACCGGTAGCCACAGTCGGCCCGACACCACGCTCAAGGAGAAGGACCTTCTTGCCAGCCTGAGCAAACTTCTCAGCACTGATAATTCCGGCAGGGCCTCCACCAACGACGATGTAGTCATATGTACTATTCTGAAAGACGGAAGCGGAAGCGAGTCCGGAGAAAATGGAGAACGCAGCGGCCAAAGGGCCTGTCTGGAAGATTCTCATAATGAAGTATAAAAATGAGATCTGTGTGAAATGCCGAGATAGGAACCTGCAGGGGAAGGGGTCCTTTTAACACTTTCATAGCCTCAGTGCCGTCACGCCCAGATCCAGGTCCAGTTCCAACCAATTGTCTCAGACTCCACGCGGGCTCCTCATGGCTCGACATTGTAATTTCGTCTATAATCACTAATCGGGACTAGCGCGATCAGATAAGAATGTTAACTCGCCGCTGAGCCGCCCATTTCCCGTCTCTCTCGGGACGACACTTCAGATCTCATAACGCTTCGTGTGATCATTTAGCCGGATTATAATCTGTAGACATCTTTTATTTCATGCCGAGGGCATTCAGTACTGCTCCGGAATGCGAAACTGCAAATAGGTTTTGTCAGAAAAGACCCCGTTTGACTCCACTTGACCATTAATGCCAAGTGCGGAATCATTGCGCCGATGTTCCAAGCCCCTAAGTGTGTTTCAACCCTATTTATTTCCGGCAAAGCGTTTTCCCAGTCACTTTTTGGCCTTGACGCAAGGATCATCTGTAATTTAATATGTTCCAGAACTTCGATTCATATATTTCATGGATGCGGCGTCGAAAACTCGATCAAAGATTTGGCTAGCCAAGCCACCGTCCCACCATGTTTCTGGGCGTGAAAACCTCGAAACTTTGAAACGGCCAAGAAGGATATCCGACCCTTACCAAGCATAGAATAAGCAGTCCGACGCCGGGCCCACATTAGGCAATCATTCATGATCGCCTCCCTCACGCGACACAAGGCTAGTCTTCGGTAGCCATTATTCACTAAATTTGCACGCAGTCTATATCCACCCGACCGAAATAGCCGATTCTCAGTCGGATACATGTATCGGCAAAATTCCGGTATTTATCAGATATGATAAAGCACACAGTGGGGATGGGCGGGTTTGAGCGGAGCTGTCAAATTCATTTTGGAATTTCCATCCACAAACATCCCGGAATATTCAATCTTCTAGTGTGGTCGTACGGCTACAGGGGAAGATAAGTCTTGTTTCAGGAACGGCATGGGTCCCTAGAACAGGCCGAACTAGGAAAGTCTTCCATCAGGCATCCAAAAGAGCAGGCCTTAACTTCAGACAGTGACATGATGCCAATTGATTCGGAAGCCTGGGGAATAGCGGCTGAAGCTGACTGTAGCAGTTGGGTTGATAGTTTTATTAGAAAGAATGCTACTCCATACCTCACTGATACGGATAGTATTCCATAGTGACCCGCATGAAGGTATGACGGGAATTGGATCTTAAGCAAGGTGGAATAATCAATCCGGGGCTATCTGGCAAGTTCCAAAGCATTTAGAACCGAGTGTGTCTCGTCATAAACTATTGGATCGCGGGATCGACAAAACGCTTGCGATGGGCAAGGCGCTCGCCGGCTACATTAACCTGCTTGACGTTCTCAAACATCGAGAGTGAGCCCATGAGAGATAGGGCTGTCAGTTTATTATTTGTAATAACTCCACCCAGGATCATGTAGTATACTGAAACACACCCTCAAATATCCAGCGGTCGTCGATACAATGGGATGCGTTCTTGGGCGTGTCCAAGATCTCTTGACTGGAGATCTGGGTATTTCATGCGATCCACATCAGTGGTTTCGTTTCAAACACTGGCCAGTCTCCGTATTGCCGCAGTGTATCTATCCTTGATCCAGACTGCAGCGACGCAGGCTGATACACGAACGCCACCGATGTGATGACAGCAAACCGTAATATGAGGACGTGCCGTATGAAATAGCAAGCTGTGTATGATCAACAGCCCGTATTTGTGCTAAATGTGGTGGTTCTGCAATCGATATCAATTACAATGAAGTTAAGAATTGTGTACAGTGGGGGAATCAACAGTGGACCCGAGGCGGAGTGAACGTTGCGATGACGAAACCCAAACAAAACCTCAATCTCCAACTCTAACTTCGCCATGAACTCAGCACACCTACCTAGACACCCACGCACCCTTCTCTTAACGCTTGACGCCTTCGGTACTCTCTTCCACCCGCGCCTCCCCGTCCCTGATCAATACGCGACGACCGCGCATGAATTCGGATTGTCCCGCACAGCCATAACCCCGGACCGTCTCAAGACCGCATTCAAGGATACCTTTAAAGCTCAGACGCGTAAATACCCGAATTATGGCCGTGCTGATGTTCTCCGTGGTCAGTATAATGGGCCTCGACAATGGTGGGAGGAGGTGATTCGGGGAAGTTTCGCGCGTGCATTAGCTGAGAATGATGGAGAGGCACGATTGGCGCAAACAAGCCTCCAGATGGGCGGCACCAACGAGAATATTGATCTCCCCTCTGGCCTGGTTGATTCCCTACTGGATCGATTCGCTGGATCACAGGGCTATGCGCTTTATGATGATGTGGCACCCTTCTTCCGCCGCATGCGCGAACTGAAGACAAGTGGGAAGAGTCCATTTGAAAATATCATTGTTGGGGTTGTTTCAAACTCGGATGACCGCATTCCTGCTGTGTTAAAGTCACTAGGCGTGCGAGTAGGCGATATGCGCGCTGACCAAGACCGTTCCAGCATGGAACTTCCTGGGTTTGAGGAGCGCCAAGACACGCAAACCACAACGGATGGGCAACATCCTCACGATGTTGACCTCGTAGTTACGAGCTACGAAGCGGGTGCAGAGAAGCCTCATCGACTAATTTTTGATGTGGCGAGGCGACAGGCTCAATTGCTTGCCAGTCCGTCGATGAACAGCGAGACCAACATGCTCTCTGCACATGTGGGCGACGACTACGCGAAGGACTATCGTGCTGCTAGAGATGCAGGCTGGGAGAGCTACCTCCTTCCTCGAGACCCGTCTCAGAAGAACCCCAATGCAGTAAAAACATTAGACTCTCTGACAGAGCTGGTCACCCAGTTGGAAAGTCTGTCGTGAAACTACTGCCAACGGACTACATCTACAATCAAGCGTGACTCATACAATATTCTTTCATTTGCGTCCTACGAGGCCATAGACGTCATCTTATAGACGATGCACCGCAGATTTGGAGGACCTAAATGGGTTTGCAGATACCATGGCGTATGGACTACTTTCTAAATGGGGTTTTGTTCCTCTCGAGCACACTACAAGTATTGCTTTCTGTGTACAAAAACAATAATCTTGTTCATTTCTGTCTTTCAAAGGCCTGCAAAGGGAGACATTTCTCATCGGGTAGCAGGTTGGTCTTGTGATCTAAGTTGAGAGACAACCGCAGCCTCCATTGTCGTTACTGCCACAAGTTGCGTGGCCGTCACAGCAGTAGGTTTGACTGCATGGAGAGGGGCATTTTTGACAAGCTATAGCATCCAGTAGTCAGAAATTGAACACAATAAAGGATATCAAGCCCGAAAATGACAGCCGCCGGGTTCAACCTTACTTTGATTGCCGAGATTCTCAAAAGGATGTGCGGAATTTAACCTCACGACATTGGGACTTGATTTCATGTTGACTGTAAATAATAATGGCGGTGTCAGCTGAGTCTATTGCCACGTTTGGGGTGAGCAAGATACCTCCTTTGGTGGCCTGCTCAAGACTTGAACCAGCGGCATAGGACCCTGCCATACAGAGGGCCATGAGAAGCTTCATGAACGTGGGGGCCATGATTGAAATTGTATGGGGACGAGAGGTAGTCTGTTCCAAGGGCGAGAGCTTGAAGAATATGTTCGTGATAGTTGAAGGACGGCCTCGCTAGGTAGGACCGAGTAGCATATGGAAGAGTTCTGAAGACCGATGCTATTCAACCAGCCTCTTGTATGGGCCGACAATGAGATGTGTGATCTACATTCCACATCAAGAGAGGTTTAGCTTGTATGTCACTCAGCGCTTTGCAGAATAAGCCTTGGCACCTTGGGTTTGCTGCACAAAATACACGTTCGAAAAGAATGGGATATCAAAGTTTAGGTATACCGGAAAATACAGGCCTTTTGGTAAACGAATAGGTAGAAGTGGTAGTATATCCGCAAGGGAAACCAACTAAATCGCCCATAAAGAAACACAAAGAGTGAGGAACCAAAATGGAAAGAATGCACGGGGTGGAGTTGTTGCAGAGCGAGTGAGGATTTCCCATTCCCGTTAAATTAAGCTCAACTCGTCAGAAAATGTAACCCATTTGGTCTGCACTACAGCTCAATGGACCTCCATCCTCCCCAATACTCTTACATTCTTGTTTTCATCCAGTTGTGGGAATGATCGACACCTTGTATGGGCCCTGTATCAATCAAGAATGCTTCAAGATATTCCATTGTCCAGTATGACCTCAACGCCAGAAAAGTAAACTCCATCCCATGATAGTAAGAAACTGAAATATCGCAAAATCCATGTACAAGCAAGACACCTCATTACACATTCCATGATAAAACCATTTAATCCCACTGGCCTTTACCCAAAGCACCAAGCCCACCACCAGTATGCTTATTCAACAACTTAGCAATATTGGACGCACCACTCCGCTGCTTAATGCGCAGCTCCTTCTCACGCTCACGCTCACGCGCAGCTGTGTATGAATTGACAGCGCCGCCCTTCTTCGGTCCTGAAGCCGCGGCTTTTGAAACGTGGTTGGAGGTGGTGCTTGAGTTGCTGGAAGAGGAAGAGCCGGTTGTGACACGGCGCAAGAACTGTGGAGGACGGAATCCAATCGGACCGTCACTATTGCCCGTTGAGAATGCCATCTTGCCGTTTCCAGATCCGGAGGAGTTTGTGGCGGAGTTGGATGATGCTTGTCGGAGGAGGGCGAGGCGATCAACGACCACTCCGCGTGTTCGGCGTGGGTGGCTGGGTTTGGCGAATGTGGTGTCGGATTGTTGGTCTTCCGAATGGCCTTCTTCAGCACCGGATGCATCTTCGCTTTCGTTCCAGTGCTCGGCCTCGTCGAGGGAAGCATCCTCGTGGAAGGAATCGTATTCGGGGGTCTCAGTGAGGAAGGACAGCGTCTCACGGATCTCGGCCAGGGTAGCTGGTTTCTTGGACATTGCGCTGGCAGGAGTGCGACGGAGATTAGGTGGGGGCCGGTTGGTGGAATCTTCACCGGATGGTTCAAGAGGGCGCTTGCGCTTCTTGCCCTCATTTGATGCATGGTTTGACTGTTCCTCGAGTGTAGCATCTTGGGATGCTTCAGCCTGAGAGCCGCCCTCTTCTTCCTCGAGGAAGTCGATATTGAAATCATCATCGACTTCGCGATCCTCAACAGCCTTGAAAAATGCCGCTTTCTTGGGGTTTTCGGCAATCTCGCCGATTTTCTCGTCTGCGAGAAGAGCACGACGCATCTTGGCGAATTCGCGTTGCTTTTCACGGCGTCGTGCCAAGTGCTCATCGTCTGAGTCGTCAAGATCAAAGTCATCATCAGCATTTTTGCGGCGTCGGAGGGCTCCAGTTGTGATGTCTCTCATGAGCTTGGCGACGTCTTTCTCGTCACGGTTGCGATCGTGGACACTGAGAGCTTATTAGCATTGCAATAATTGAACAAGACATGAAGTAAACTTACGCATTGAGTGCGGCGAGTTGCTTCTCGTCAACCACCTCACCACTGTTGTCGTTGATCATCTGGCGATCAATGGCATCTTCTTCGCCATCACTGTCATCACTATGACCTCCGAGGCCTGCATATTCATCCTCGGATTCCTCTGCAGCCTCATCAACAATGTCTTTCGCCATACTGTTCTTCTTGTTGTATTCAGGGGCAGACTTCTTCTTCGTAACCTTGTCCTTCTTCATGACATTGAAGGCATTGGCATTGATCTCAAAGTCACCTTCATGTTCATCTTCCTCAACCTGAGAGAGTCCAGTGGCGCGGCCTCGCCGCAACATCTTGCGCTTTCGCTCCGCAATGGGCGACTGGCTTTGACCAACGAGAACTGTATCAATGGTCGAGACGGGAGGTGTGTCTCTCCATCTTTTCGCGGGATCAAATGGTGAGAAGACGAAGCCTTCATCTTGGGTTGGGTCCGGTAGTTGAGAATACTCCGAGAAATGGTATGGAGCAGGCGACTCCGATACCCGAGTTACGTTCTGCGAGTAACCCTCCATGAAGTCTTTGTCTTGTGGATGCTCCTGGCTGTCTCGGACAAGGATCTCGGATTCCTCCTTCCGAAGCTGGGGTACAGGTCGACCTGGGTCGGGCAAAGAGAAAGGGATGGTGGCGGATCCTGGTTGGCTGTCTGCACCATTGCCATCTAATGTGGAGGCAAAGGCCTGAGTCAGACCGAGAGACATATCGCCAGGCGTTCCCAGATCAGGGAAATTGGGTCGTTCAGCCGACTGCGGGACATGAGTCGGCGCTCTCACAGGCGTCGATGGTGCCTGGGGTTGATCCTCTCCATCTTCGTCATCGCTGACCACTCGTCTTCGGCGCTTGCGTCTGGCGGAAGGGGCGAGTTCTTTTTCGGTGTCTGAAGGTAGACCTTCACTTTGTTCGTCAGCGGATTCGTCGTTTTCATCTGCCTCCTGCTCGACAAGCCCGGCCTTGCCATTCACGCTGCTGGTTTCCTCCTCTTCATCTTCATCTTCATCGTCACCCTCGCCATATGCCTCTTCGTCAGAGCCGGAAAGCTGATAGTCATCATCCTCATCCTCGTCATCGTCGTCATTCTGTCCTTCCTTCTTCTTAGCAGCCTTCTCGAGACGGGCAATCTCATCTGCCTCTTTGCGAGCCTTCTCAACAAGGTTCTCCATGTCATCTTCCATGGCTGCTCGCTCCTCGGCGGTTTCAATGATCACACCCTTAGCCCGGAGTTCTTCCATTCGTTCACGGCGCTCCTTGGCGGCTTGCTGTCGAGCTTTGTACAATAGGTTCGCAGAGAGTTCTGCGTTGTTCATTGAGGCCCGTTTGCGTGAGGGAGACGTCAAGTGTGCCAATGCCTTGAGCCTGGTCGTACCAGGGTCTTCTTGCATCTGGCGGGTGGGGAGATTTTCGAATGCTGCGATCCGACGACACTTGCCAGGTGAAGTAACCACCTCCAAGTCGCTATCAGAATCGTCGTCACCATGGGTGTTCGCGGCAACTTCTTGTCGGGAAAGCAGCACGCGAATAGGCGGTTGAGTGAGAGGGCGAGAGATTCTCTTTTCTTTTGCGGCTTTGGGTACAGAGGGTGAAACCTGTTTGACTTCAGCATGCCCCATCTCAGCTTTTTCAGCTACCACTTTGTCGAAAATAGGCAGATCCTCCTGGTTCGCATCCATGCCGACATCAGTAGCTTGCGTTTGAGCCTCGGAATCAACAGCAGTCGGCTTGCTCTCATCGGCTACGCCAATCACTGGAGAAGTATGTGGGGTGTCTTTGAGCTTGCGTAGTTCTCCATCAGACGAGGTTTGCGAGCCGGCAGTGGACGATGAGTTTATTACAGGTTGTTCGGTGGCTGAGGGTTCAGGTTGCATAAAGTTAAATCGGGCGAAGAGACTCTCTTTGGTAATCTTCTTCTTGGTCTTTGCCTGGTGAGCCAATTGCATATTACGGCTCATCCGCTGTGTCTCCTGTCTCATCTCATCCAAAGCTTTCTTGCTCGCCTTGCGGGGTTGACGGGCCTTCTGAGAGAGCTTGTGAGCAGAGCCAGGGTCATCAGCACCGCTTTCCTCATCAGAAAGAACCTCCGAACTGAAGTGCTCCATCTGTGCTTTCCGAGCAGCAGCCTTCTTATCGGCCTCGGCTTTCTCTCGCTCCTCGCGCTCCTTGCGTTTCTGGGCAACAAGGGAAAGGAATCGGGCTTTCCCCTTAGGCTTTTCTTCAGCGTCGTGATCAATATCATTGCTGTTGGCGGGGTCGTCACGCGGCTCAGCAGGAGAAGACACAAATAGGGGAGACTCGGATCTTAGACGTGGAGGAGTTTGGCTCGGCTCTTTGTCGGACTCTGGTGATTTAGATCGGGCATTGTTCTTTCTCCTCGGACCAGCCGTAGGAATTTCGTCTTCACTGGATTCATCGTTGGGTGTGGGCTCTGCCTGCTGCGGCTTCTGGGCCTGTTCTCTTTCGGACCGGAATGCCTTGGACACACGGGCGAATGCGGAGTCTGTTTCATTTGGATTGGGTGATTTCGTGGTATTGCCCTGCATCCGGGCAGCCATTCGACCCTTGGGGCGGGCAATAGCGTCTTCACTACTTGAATCACCCGAGTCGTATGCTTGACCGTCGTTGTGTGTCTGGATGGTTGACGTGGAATCGCGCCCTAAGGTGGTTTTTGGTGCAGCAGATGTCGATTTAGCATTTTGTGTATCATCCTCCGAGTCACTGTCAAATTCAGCCATCAGGGCCTTAATCTTTTGGCCGGGTGTAATAATGTTCGGCGAACCGCCTGGGGACGCGGAACGCGTCGAGCGTGGTGTGGACGGTGAGGACATGTTGTCGTAAATGTTCTCGTACTCCAGGGTGATTATCGGGGGTATAATTTCATAATGGAGTCAGTTGGACAAGGGAAGTTGCAAACCAAGGTCCAAGTCAAGGTGCAGTGGAGGTTCAAGGGCGCACATAGTCCGGACGCGATGCGCGTGCCTCGCGTTGCTAGGCCCCACACGTGATTGCTATCTTATCGTAAATTTTCATTATAGACGAGACTACAGACTGATGTCGTTCTTTAAGGATAAAGTAAAGGTAGATGTTCCATTTGTAAAGGCTCCTATGGAAATAACCTCGTTTCCTCAACAGGTACCGGCGAATCCACGCTCTTACCAACCATAAAAAGGATGATTGTATTGCTCATGATGCGTTCCCAGAAGTCTCATAATACAAGAATGAATGCTATTTTCTTAAATGACGCCGTTAAATCATCCACCGACTCCTCAAATATTGCGAAAGAAAAGGTCAGGGGAAAAGCTAAAACAATAAAGTCACAATGCAGTCTTGGCTATGCGCCAATGACCACCAGTGGTCCCTCCAGGAGTGTACATCGGATTCAAAGGGAATCACGTAACCAGATAATCCGGAAAGCAAACCTCAGCAAGCCGGTTCAGGGCGTAAAAAGGAAGATGCAGAAAACAGTGGAATGTTAGGAGTGACATAATCAGATCTCAATGTCGATGTCCATATCGAGGGCTGCGATGTTCTCATCATCGTTGTTGCGGTGACTGATCATGAAACCACTCTTGGACTTCTTGGGGGTGATTCCGGAAGGTGTACCAGCTCCAGAACTGCCGTTGCTGGGCTTGAGAGTATCCTTGGGCCCATCGGCAGGAGTAACATCGGTAATAGGAACAGGTTGGCTGGGTCCACTGACGTCGTGATGGGTCTTAGCCACTGTTCGCACACGCATGAACGGATCGGCGGCGGCTTCACCGCGAGCGACAGCTGCTGCGGACTTGCGAGCGGCCTTGCGCTCCTCGATCTGAGCACGGCGCACGTTCTCATAGTTGAGCTTTTGGTTACGGATGTTGATCTGGTGGACACGCTCGGCTTCCATCGGCTTCTGGTCGATCTCTTTCTTGGTGAGAGTCGTTCCCCAGGAGAGAGTAGGGTTCAGGATCTGATCCAATTCCTTCTCCAGCCGCTCAGCATCTTCAATGTTTCCATTGGCTTTGGCGAACTTCAAGTCGCGTTCAATATCAGCACGCTTGAGGATGTTCCATTTCTGGTCGAATGCACCCTGGCGAAGCAGCTTCTGGTTCAGCTCATCTTTAGTGAATTGGTGATTGATCAGGCGGTTGATGTCAGTGACCTTGGAGGCCAGCTTTCCTTGCGTAGCCAACTTGATGTCCTCGGCAGCCAAAGTCTTGCGGTAACGGTTGTACTCGTTCTGGCACATTGTTAATGTAATTCAATGTTAAGGAGAGGCTTCACAAACCTCGGTGAAAGGAGAATCCGAGCAGGCAATGAAAGGGAATTCCTTTACAGCCTTGCCATGCGCCAGCTTGACATACTGATCGGTGACAAAAGGACGACCGTTGGATCCTTCAATAGCATAGGGCTTGCCCTGAGCAAAGCCTAGAAACGTTGTTAGTTTAGAGAATCAACAACATCCGAAATATCTTACCAGAGATAAGGCACATGCGATATTCGTTCTGGCCAGTCTCTGCGTTCGGGCCAATATTGACGCGGGCATAGCAGCCCTGCATGGCACTTTCAAATCCAGGGTAGAAGCAGACCTGAGCAAAGTTGCTGCGACCAACACGAGCACGTTGAATGTCACGAAGCTCAGCAGGCGGGTCGTCCTTTGGCAGGGAGGGAGAACGACCAACACGGTCATCCAATTCAAGATCACTCTCAGCATCAGCATCTTCAACAGAGCCTTCAGATCCCATGGAACGGGAACGACGGCGAGTCTGGGTGGGATCACGGCGGCGGAGTTCATCCCGCTTGCCCTTCTGTTCACGCTGACGCTTGTAAGCCTCAATGGCTCCAGAGGTTTCTCCAACCTTGCGGCCACCCAGAGTGGTCTTCTGGCGAGAGCTCTTGCGCTGGGAGTCATCCAAACCGGCGGAACCAGCCTTTCGCTTGGCTTTCTTAGCAGCCCGGGCTTCCTCGCGGGATCGGGATGCTAGCAGGCGTCGGAGAGCAAGGTCCTGGTTGTGGCGATCAACTTGTTGGGCACGCTCGGACAAGGTTTCCTCGCGCTGGATTTCGGGCATGGCCATGATGTCCTTCTTATCCTGTGCCGAGTAGTACAGCTTGTCGTACGGGAAAATGGGGCGATCCTCATCATCTTGGTCGGATTTCTCAGACTCCGAGTCTGACTCGGACATGGGGGCAGACTGGAGAGAGTGACGGGAGCCAGTTTCGGAACTGTATAGCAGATCCACGGATTAGTTACGAATATCATCAAGTAGACTGAGGGGGATATCTCACACTTCGCCTTCGGATTCATCCTTCACGGACTTCCGAGCCCGGCGAGGAACAGGCTTAGCAGTTCCTTTGCGACCCATGGCTGCCGGAGAACGATCTCTGTCGGCATGTGAGGAAGCAGAGTGCGCCGGCGATTTGGGAGGTGGTGAGGTTTCCTCCTCAGAGTCACCCGCCAAAGCGAGCAACTCAGCATCCAGATCGTCCGCCATTTTGAATAGCCTTCCAATAGACTAATCCCTTCGGATAATCGTCAACCCCCAAAAGTGCTACTCTCAAACAAGGATTCGGCTTATAGAACAATAGGTACTTTTTCCTATTGATCTATCCCTCCTGAAGAGAGTCGACACCCAAGTGACGAAGTGGCAGTAGAACACCGTCCAAATGAGGCCCAAATGCTTCACACGGGACTTTCAACGATCCAAAGTCGGCAGCCACACTATGCACTAGATGAAGCGAACGTAGTGCAGGGTATCTTGAAAGCGCATGAGTGTTCGTCGCAAGTTGGCATGAATTCATGACGTTCCGCGCGAATCTCGCTAGCGAAGGCGGTCAACGCGGCCTCGGAGCTTCGTCCTCGAAATAGTCTCATGATTATCGTTCAACCTAATTTTTAATGGCATCTCTACCAATGATGCGCAATTGCGCCTTGAAATTGTGCCGCCAGCCCATGCGTGCACCATCCTCAGTTTTTCTCGACTTCCTCGCTCCATCAACGGTCAAATACAGCCAATGTCGGCACGCCTCAACCACCGCCGGCACCGCCGGTGAGCCCAAGCCTCGCTACGTCCTCAGCAAAGAGCAGCGCGAGTTTATGGACAGCGCTCTACGAGTAAATCAAGCCGGGGAGCTCGCCGCGACCCTGATTTACACAGCCCAGACGCCCCAGATCGTTCGTTCATACCCACACCTCCGGCCTTTGATGAAACACATGTACGACCAAGAAGCCGGGCATCTCAAAACGTTCAATGGGCTCGTTGCGAAGCACCAGGTCCGACCAACCGCTATGTATCCCGCATGGGAGGTAGCAGCCACATTCCTGGGGTGGTCCACGGCGGCACTGGGTCGCGAAGCCGCGATGGCGTGCACCGAGGCCGTTGAGACGGAGATTGGATCTCACTATAATGACCAAGTGAGGGAGATTCTGTCCTGGGAGGCGGATGCTGAGAGACGGGGAGAGGAGCTCGATGAAGAGCTTAAGGATATGCTGGCCACATTCCGGAGGATTCGGGACGAGGAACTAGAGCATCTTGACCATGCTGTTGCCAATGACTCCAAGGAAGCGAAGCCTTATGATCCCCTTGTGGATGTTATTCGCTTTGGCTGCAGGACCGCTATCAAGATCAGCGAGAAGATCTGATGTTCAATGATGGTGGGAATGTTTACTTTGCTGGTCAATCCATCACCCTGCCATACAAATATTTTGTTCGCGTTCAGCACTCAACGTACAATACCAAATATTTTTCTGGTCATGGAAACTATGCAATCATATCTTCTATTTTAATATTCAATATCTGCTTGATGTATCTATCAAAACTGCTCGCTCATGAAGTAGGGTATCAACAAAGTAGCGCCGTCTTCTCTATACATGTGCTTGGCCTGTGCAGTCCTGCTGGTTTGAACAGACCCTTTACTCAGAGCTGAGAGGGTTTTGCTCCAGGTAGTCAACGAAGTTCTGAGAGAATCGCACGACCTGCTGGTAAACCTCTTCGAAACCATTGGCACCACCATAGTAAGGGTCTTGGACGACCTCTCCACCACCAACGCGGTCATTCAGCGTTCCAGCTTTACCGAAATCACCAAACATCCGCACCACAGCAACCTTCGCATCCTCCCCATACTCGCCAATCGCAGCGTCGACATGCGAACGTGTGCCTTTGGCCCCCGACTTGGAAGTAGATTTGCGCTGCAAAGCCGCAATGACCGACTCCCGCTCATGCAACAACTCGCGCAAGTTCGACTTGTCCATGGCAAGGAGGTAGTCGAAGGTGAGGAAGTCCTCCCGGGTCACCTTACGGGCGGCATGGTCATAATCGGTGATCTTGTGGCGGCGCAGAGTGGACATGGTGCGGGGGTCGGGAGGCTCAAGTCTGTGGTATGCGGCAGTGCCGGCCGAGTCGATCTCTCCAATTAAGGCATGGGATGCGGCGAAGTTGCGGAAGACACCCTCTGCCATCGGAGAACGACCTATACTGAATTAGGATGTCGTCATCGCGGGGGAAAGCCAAGGGTGCACGTACAGATGTTGCCCAGGCAGACAAATAGGACATTTGCCGGGCGTCCATTCGAGTCGCCAGTCATAATGTGGGGTAGGATGAATGTCCCGGGATCTTGCCTATGGTTGTGTAGGCAGCAATTGAATATATTACAGCTTGAAAATGAGTGTTAAGTTGGGGACTTATCGATAGGCGACCTTAAGACCCCACCAGATGCAATACGTCGTTGCTACAGGGCAAGACACAGGTACAGGTGCAGTATGATGTGCAGACCTTGGCATAAGCTAGTAAAATGGGCTATTCTAAGAACAGGCAGCTACTTTATACATCACACTGATAGTATACCTTGTCGATACTAAAAAAAGAATAAGAATTTGCAGCGCCTCCCATGGAATGGGAATGACTAAGCACACGGTGTGGGTACAGCCACTGCCAAGACTGTGGCTCAGGCGCAGTTGGCCCAGTAACAAAACACGCACGACTGACCAGCGGAGAGTTGCCTCTTCCAACCGTGGCTCACATGTTTCAGTTGTCTCTGGTTTGATGAACTGCAATCTTATTGGGGCTTTTGTTCCGAATCCTTTCCTTCATATGCTTTTTTCGCTATTACAGTCTTATCATCGTGTGAACAATACATCCACAAGGCAGTGCGGAGCCCAGCACAGACACTGATTCGTCCTATCTCCACCTTCATGCTGGGATCGACTGGGGCGTCGTAAACACCAAACAGAGGGGACCCAGGTTTATTCCACCTGCTTCTCACTTTTGCAACCAACCTGTACTCGTTTCTCCTAGTCAAATTTCGCTTGAAGTCCCTACCTGAAACAGCGCCGAGAGTCCGCGTCCGTCAAGTCGGACTAGTCAAGTCTCCCGTTGACGCTCAAGATTCCACTTGGCGCTCCTGGCGCAATCTCCAAACCCCTGCAACGAACGTCGGGGTAGCATAATTTCGCTGAACTCAATCCCGAGGCTCGCTCACACACCATGGCCTACAATCGCGTCGGAGAAGGTTAGTGCTTGTCTTACGGCCCTATTGGACCCTCTTTTTTCCCATATTGCTTGCGCATGCTTGTCCACCTGAAACCTGTCTCAAGTCAGTGCTGGTCATTGATTAAATGGTTGCTGTGGAAGTTGCACAGTCAAGCTCTTGCGTTTTAACCTCCCGTTGAGCATCCACTGCCTCAGAACTGACAATGTCGCAACCAGATCCGTTTGGGGACGAGCATCGCTCGCCCATGCTGAATCCTTCTCACGTTACTAGCTACACAAATCGCACTCCCTCGCCTGCCCGACCGCTGGATGGCTACCAGCTATCGGACAACCCATATGCTCCTCCTGCGCATCTGCCTATGCCATCTAGCGATCGCCTAGCTGAGCAACCGACTGTGAGTATTGCGCAACAATGATCTGTGCCTTGTGGCTGGAACTGACCATCGTTTTCTCCGACACAGTATTCAGTCGAGAACGTCTACAACTCCTATGGCCACCACGATGCCTATGATGCGCAACGTCCTTACCCCGGTCATGAGTACTCGGTGGATCCCGAAGCCCATCACGATGCTTACTATACTCAACCTTATGAGCCTACACACACTCATCATGACGATTATGATCTTGGCCAGTATCCAGAGGGAGGCCACACCCCATTCGATGATACACACGAGCCCATGCTTCAACCGAGCGACAATCCATTCGGGCCGGACCCATACACCGATGAGTTCCATGACGAGGTACAACCAACACCAAGTCCTCAACCTATCCGCCGCTGGAAGACAGTGAAGGAAGTCCAGCTGTTCAACGGCAACCTTGTCCTTGATTGCCCCATTGCCCCAAAATTGCTCAGTCAAGTTCCTCATGCAGAGCCCCCCGGCCGTGACGAGTTTACGCATATGCGATACTCGGCCGCAACTTGCGACCCTGCTGATTTCTTCGAGGAACGGTTCACTCTGCGCCAGAAACTCTTCGCAAAGCCTCGTCATACGGAGCTGTTTATTGTCGTGACCATGTATAATGAGGACGACTTCCTGTTTGCGCGAACCATGTCCGGTATTTTCAAGAACATTGATCATATGTGCTCGCGCACAAGCAGCAAAACCTGGGGCAAGGACGCATGGAAGAAGATCGTGGTTTGTGTTATCAGTGACGGCCGTGCAAAGATCAACCCTCGCACGCGCGCCGTTCTAGCAGGTCTGGGTGTGTATCAGGATGGAATTGCTAAGCAGCAAGTCAACGGCAAGGATGTGACAGCCCACATCTACGAATACACAACCCAAGTCGGATTGGAAGTCAAGGGCACCCAGGTGCATCTCAAGCCTAGGACGGGACCTCCCGTGCAGATGATCTTCTGTTTGAAGGAAAAGAACCAGAAGAAGATCAACTCCCACAGATGGTTCTTCCAGGCCTTTGGTCGGGTCTTGGATCCCAACATTTGTGTCCTTCTCGATGCGGGTACCAAGCCTGGCAGAGACTCCATCTACCACCTGTGGAAGGCCTTTGATGTCGAGCCTATGTGCGGTGGTGCCTGTGGTGAGATTAAGGTCATGTTGTCCCACGGCAAGAAATTGTTGAACCCTCTGGTTGCCGGTCAAAACTTCGAGTACAAGCTGAGCAACATTCTGGATAAGCCGCTGGAGTCTTCTTTCGGGTTCATTACCGTGTTGCCCGGCGCGTTCTCTGCTTATCGGTTTGTTGCTTTGCAGAATGACAAGAACGGACAGGGTCCTCTGGAACGGTATTTCTTGGGTGAGAAGATGCACGGTGCCAATGCCGGTATTTTCACAGCCAACATGTACTTGGCCGAGGATCGAATTCTTTGCTTCGAAATTGTCTCCAAGCGGAAATGCAGATGGCTCCTTCAGTACGTCAAGTCGTCAACCGGTGAGACTGACGTGCCTGACCGCATGGCCGAGTTCATCTTGCAACGTCGCCGTTGGCTCAACGGTAGTTTCTTCGCTGCTGTCTACGCTATTGCCCACTTCTATCAGATTTTCCGCAGTGACCACAGCTTCATGCGCAAGTTCATGCTGATGATTGAATTCATCTACCAAACGATTGCGATGATTTTTGCTTGGTTCGGTATTGGTAACTTCTTCTTGGTCTTCCACATCTTGACAACATACCTCGGATCAGATGATCTATTAGGTACTGCTGGTAAAGTTCTTGGTATCGTTTTCGAATGGCTCTACTTGGCAACTCTCGTTACGTGCTTCGTTTTGGCTCTTGGTAATCGACCTGGTGGATCAAACAAGTTCTACATGACCATGGTCTATTTCTGGATCGTGATTATGATATATCTTGCATTTGCTGCCGTTTTCGTCACTGTGAAATCCATTCAGACAGAGGTTGCCTCGAACAGTTTCACTGTTTCGCAGCTGTTCACGAACAAGACGTTTTTCTCGATTATCGTTTCACTTGGGTCAACCTATGTGATGTGGTTCATCGCGTCCTTTATCTTCCTGGATCCCTGGCACATGTTCACTAGTGTAAGTCTTCCAGTCAATTCCTTGTTAGCCATTCACCTTGCTAATCTCCTTCTCAGTTCATCCAATACATCCTGCTTACCCCGACCTATATCAACGTCCTCAACATCTACGCCTTCTGTAACACCCACGACATCACTTGGGGTACAAAAGGAGACGACAAAGCCGAGAAACTGCCCTCAGCCCATCTTAAGCCCGGCGGCAAAGTCGATGTCAATATTCCACAGGACGACGGCGACTTGAACGCACAGTATGAAGCGGAAATCGCCAAGTTCGCCATGAAACCACCCAAGGAGGTACAGGTCATCTCAGAGGAAGAGAAGCAGGCCGATTACTACAAGGGTTTCCGCAGTGCTGTCGTTCTCGCCTGGGTATTCTGCAACTTTGCCCTTGGCGCCGTTGTCCTGAGTGCCGCAGGTCTGGAAACCTTCGATAAGACGTCTAGCTCCAGTGACAGCCAAGATGCCACACAGAGCGAGCGCTCCATGATTTACATGGAAGTTGTTCTGTGGAGTGTTGCCGGACTGTCGATGTTCAAGTTCGTCGGTGCGATGTGGTATCTGGTTGTTCGGATGGTGAGTCCTTTCCCCTTCTCCATCTCCTTCCTCCCTCTCAAGCATACTAACTTCCCCTTCTCCAGTTCCGCGGTGTTTGATTTAGCGATCTTTCAACATAACGATTGTTCTTCTGCTCTTCCTTGCGCTTTGCAGCAAATGCCATGCTATGCAATGTTTTCATATATCCACCGCGTTGATTCACATTCATCAGAGTTGGAGAGTACGAATTTCAGAATCCATGACCACGGCGGGCCCGGTCTGGTCTGTAACGGGGTTCTGAAATGGATCTGAAAATGGAGATGGAAACGGGACAAATGTAATATGTGTGATGACTCCCCGCGATATGCCTTTCTCGTTTTGATATGTGGAACGAGTGGAATGACATGATATCGCGATGTTTTTCTTTTTTTTTTTTTTGCTTTTAGTTTTCATTTGGAGTGGGAATTCGTGTACTTTTATTGTAGATATGGGGATCTGGTTTATTATTTTGTGCCAATCTTGGTGTTGGTGATAGATAAATATGATATGTCCTATGAACTGCATGACTTGATCTGGATTCTTGGAAGCAAACTAGTCTGTGGGTAAAGCAAGGAATTATTTGGATCAGGAGGGTGAGACAAGCGCCGGTTGCGTTGGTGTGTATTCCTGTTACTGAGATGTATGCAGAATGAGGTGATCATGGATGTTTTGATGCAAGATGGACCCGAATATATCTCGACCGAATACATGTATGTAGAAACGCAACAATAGTCAGACAATTGTCAAATGACAATAATCCCAGGACGAAGTGTACAGGAATCAAGAAGCCTGGTTCTTTGAATGAACACACAATGCAATACCTCCAAGCACCAAGCCCATGCCCAACCATGTCTCCTTCGCAATCACCTTGCGCTCCACATACCACTCTCCGAGCACAGTAAATAGGAATGCACTCGAGTTCGCAAGAGGGACGGTGAGGGAAAGCTCTGTAAAAAAAAAAAAAAAAGAGAAAGATCATTAGCAAACCCATCCTCGGAGACAACAGCGACAGCTTGCAAGGAGAGAAAGAC